AATTATCGTTTGCTTATTTCCACTATTTTCATTCTTGTTATGCCAACACCAAATAACAAAAAACATTTCTAAATTAGCTAATAGTAACAATATTCCAAACTTCGTCAAATCGCCAGTCGTTCTATTTTTATAACCGTTATTACTGTGATAAAAGCGTTTACATGCAATATGAGTAAAGCTCGTTGTAGGTACAGGGCTTGCGGCAACATTCGTCGTATACACCTTCACGGCGACGACGAGTCTTGGCCAATGTGTCAACTTGGCCGCCATGAATCTTAGCTAGGAAAGGCGAGGACGCATAGTGTGATGGTAGCCCATCTTCAACGTCATTGTCGCCAAAATCATTCCATCCCACTAAAAGAAGGATATTTTATTTGAAATATTTAAATAGTGAAGCTTAAAACATTATTTGTATGTACACATGTAACTAACTTTGAGAGTAGCTTTGTAGCTAATTAAGTATACTCACTTGATCTCTTGAATTTCGTATTGAATCCATTTTCGCAAATAGTATCGAGCACAGCATCAATTGCCGGCCCACATACCGTTCTTTGGGCTATAATTTCTTGCAAACATGCAAACAACACAAACAGAGAAGCGCAGATTTTAAGCAGATTATGTGACATAGTAACAGGTGTTCTGTTAGTAAGTATTATATAATTTATGTAAAATATATATTCGAAGGCAACACTATATTACATGCAACTTGGCGTTGAAGCTGTGCAAAGTAACTGATGGAATTTGCAGTTTCCCTGTGTGCTTTTATACTAGCGATGAAAAGGCAAAAATAGCTTTGGTTTTAGGGCGAGCCAATGCATGTTTGTAGTACATACAAGTACAGCAGTTTAGCATACTTCCTTCTTAACCCACTTTGCCGATTTAAGAAGTCAAGGTCGCCAAGGGCGTTGAAAGAATTTTGCAATTAATATGCTTAATACATACAATGTGTGTGTATGTACTTTAGGGTGGTCCAAAAAGAGTTAAGTCGGAATTTTAATGCTCTCACCCCCTAGGATTGTTCTTTATCCAAAAAAAGTATACCCTTATTTTTTATTTTGAAATCCAAAATATTTAGAGGTCGCTCAAGGCGCTCAAAGTTTTCCATGTATTTTATATGAGGAAATGGTATAGAATTCTTGAAAATCAATATTTTTCGATGGGAAAACTCCGTTTCTCTGCACAAGACTCGCAACAATAATACCCAGTTTTTTTATTTAACCAGTTTTTAATACTAACGATTTTTTATTCAAACCCTCACTGCATTTTTCGGTGTTTTTGGTGGATCTAAAAATTTTGTTGCTATGGAAAAATGGTTAAATAAACAATTGGGTATTATTATTTGGAATCTCTTTAGTTTGAAGTTCTTACGTACGTACTTTGCTTATCGATATGCCAATATTTATTTATCCACATCTTCTTCAGTGTATTTATCGATATTATTATCCATGCATTTATCGGCATCAATTAGGTGGTTCACAAGTAGTGTGTTCCTTTGAACTTCGGACATTTGCTGCTAAATATTCAAAATGTTATCGACAATTTTTTTCATTCGATCGTTATATTTTCATTTTATTTTGAACTTGCAAAATCACCGTAGCGAATGGAGAGAACACGCATTGTTCGATCATAAGGATATTTATACTCATTCTTCATTAGATCCAGAAAATTATAGAAATATATATAAATTTCCCAATTAAAAAAATTATATCTGCATTACTAATATGGCCCTTTTATAATGCTTCAGTAGAACGTATATCCAGTACTTTAAAAATGTGTAGGACTAACTTGAGGACCAGATTCAGCACTGATATAGTTGCAGCAATATTATATAGAAACCAAGGTATATAAAATAACCGTGATACTTTGTTTGAACCGAACAAATGTACCAATTGAATTGGAGAATGTAACTAATTTTTATACAAGTACCTGTAAATAGTATGCAGTACACAATACTCATATCTGTAATAAGAAAGATTTTCAGTAACTTGTTCGGATTTTAAGGATTTTTCATTTGTTTTTGAGGAATTTGGTAATTTTTTTGTGGCAACACTGATGCACAGTATATGCATACAAGCATATGTATATACGTATACTAGGGGATCACTAAACGAATGGTTTCTTTTTGTGTTGTGAGCACTAACTTTATGTTTCGTTTGTTTTCCTATTGCTCTGCATTCAATTGTTTCGTTTGCGTCAGAGACTGAAAAAGTTTTTTTACAATTTTTGACATCAAAAAGCATAGCGAAAAATTATGCTATAACGTTTTCAAAGGACCATTAGACTCATCTCACATTGTAGATTGTGATTCCTCCATGACTTTTAAAAGTCTGCCTTTTATCATTTTGAGCAAGTAATACCGGGTAATTTTGGCTTTTCATTTTTTAAGGCAAAAATAAAAGTTAAAATTTGACTTTCATTTTTTTGAGCAGAAAAACCGCAACTGTTGCCTTATATTTTTTCAGGCAAAAATAAAAGCCAAAGTTCCAAAGTTGTGTATACTCGAATATAATAGTTTTAAAGCTCCTATCTGGATTTTGATAACTCCCTAATACAAATTTAAGTGTGTATGTACTATGTATAAATACCATACTTGAAGGCATTTTGTGTTAACGGCATCATATCTGCATCAATTATTCGATTTTAAAAACTGAGGTTCCGAATTAGAGGGCTTGACCTCTATATATACAACCAGGTAAGGGATTTTTGAAAAGGGTTTCCCTTTTTTAAATTATAAAACCTGTACCAATCGTTGTATTAAAAAAAATTAGGTGTAAAATGAAAGGGCAGGGCCTCTAGAAGTGCAAGAAAGTTTAAATGTTTTGAATAGGGTTGCCACCTGCTTAAAAAATCACAAAACTTACACCGTTTGCGCAATTTTAAAAATGATATAATATGCCATAAAAACGGGCTTGGTCTATAGATCTACAAGGAAGAACGTATTATTTTTTAAAGGGTTGCCAGCTGTTAAAAATTATTTTTTTTTGTGCAGAGCACCAGATTTACACTGCTCTCTCGATTTTAAAATGAGGTGCCAAGAGAAAGGTATTCACTTAGAGATGTGCTTTCGGTTTAAATTATACGATTATTTTCTGCTCAAAAAAATAAAAGGCAAATTTTAACTTTTATTNATAACTTACATTTTTTGCTTTTTATCCTAAAATGCATAACCGGTACGGTATCTGGTTTGCGTTAGCTAACGCGAACGCTAGCAGGGTAAAGTTACCGCTCACAAAATGTTTCCGCATGATTTGAATCGGTTGTGTTACCTTTCCTAGTCTGAGCCAAAACGATACTAGTAAATACAAGTATATACTCGATACTTTTCTTCCGATTCCAAGTAATTTTGTTATCGATACTTTTGAACCGAGTACTGAGTAGGTATCGGAAGTAAGTATTTGTATCGCAACCCGATTCAGTGACAATTTTATTGCCGAACTTTTATTTTTTTAAATAATTATTATTGTCAATAGCTAAAAATGTTTGGCAATTTAGTTGCCAATGAAAAGAAAGTACTACAAAGAAAGACCTAAGTATTATCATCTCATTAACATATCGCCAGCTCAAAGTGAAAAGTTGCTAAGTACACTTTTTGTGCAAACTCATATTTGGATATAGGAAGCGAAATAAATTAAAAAACGCCACGTCTCCAAAAGGATTATCTAACGTGCTTGTTTTATTTCTTCCCGTTTATATTCAATTAAAGGCAAATTTACGAAGTCCAAAGAGGCACTGAAAAATCGATAAGCTCACAAACAATTCGAAATCTTTGTTTTCCAACGGATCCTTCTGCAAAATTCTGGAAGGAAATGTTCTGAAAAGTTTTTTCCTCCCCTGTAAATTTTCTACAAATGGACTTAATTTTCACTCTAAGCTAGCGATATGAACAGCTTTATCCTCTCAAAAATTATCATCCGATACCTAGTAGATATCGATACTTTCTTTCGATGCTACTTCCAAGACCGGTATCGATACTTCCACCATGGAGCGAAACTAAACGATACCGATATGTTTGCTATTGTTTGTTTTCGTTCTCTGGATATGTGTAGGCACATTAAGGTGGTCCAAAAAAACATAAAGTCGGTGTTTTAATGGCCTTATTCTGTCAATTCGCCACTGCTCACAATGGTGCTTATACCTTGCTTTTTATAATGTGTTCCTTTGGCATTATCAATTTGTTTTTCTTCAGCTTTTGACTTTTAATAATTTTAAAGATTTTTCGGTTTATGGTTTTTATTTTGTTTATTTATCTATCAACAAAAAAATTTTACTCGTATTAATCACTCAAAGCTATAAAATTGCAAAGTTGCAACCATGATAAAAAAAATAGGAAGGTAGAACCGCTGAGAGGAATTTTTCAAATTCTTGACGTTTGCAAGCAATTTAATTTTAAAATTTTACACACAAACCACCCCATTTTCAATCTCAAACAGCAACAACTTTGCACAGTTCCTTTTTTTACTCTCATTTTATATGATTATAAAATGTTGGCAAACTTCAAAAAAAAAATAATCATGGCCGACGAATTGAGAGAACTGTTTTAGCTTACTATGTTTTTATCATGGTTGCAACCTTAGTGAAATAGTATAAAGTGTACCAGGTAACCGACGTCTTCATATTTGAGAACAAAATTTGATTTTGTTATTATTTTTTCTTTCATTTCTGGTGTCCGCTTTTTTTCAAATCTGGCGTTAACCCTTAGGTTTTGTTACATACCTCTGTCCAATTTCAGCTTAGATCCTCAACCTTCCGGACTGAAAACATCAAGTAGTACAACGGTATGTGTGCTTTTGCACAAACGGCAAGAATTTCTTGGCATTTTTTCACAAGTCTCTCACACAAGTTCTCAAAGGGTTAACGTGAAAGTCAAATCAAAGGAAATTTTCTTGTAATAAATTGTCAAATAAGAGTACCGGAATAGAATGTCATTGCTATCTGGTACACTTTATATTTTTTCACTATGGTTGCAACGAAAAAATCTTAATTTTTTTCTCAATTTCACCCACATTGAGACTCGAACACAATTTCAGCTGACATTTTTTTCTATGGTCGAATTGAGAAACATATCACGTGGTAACGTACTATTAGTGACCCTTCGATATCACCTTGCAAAATCTCAATTTTTCAAAATCAATCAAACGCAGAAGAAGCAAGGAAATTAGTACGAAAAACTAGCGGGAAATTTAAATTTACATAGAGTACTTTCACATGGTGGAATGAATTTATGATCAGCGATAGTTATAAATAGGTGCCGTTCGGCTTGGCACCGCTTCCTATGTGTACGTACACTTACGGAACCTACCAATATTTTAAACAAATTAAAATTTTCATGAGACTATAAACAGTGGCAGACATAATTATACTTGTTCGAAATTAGATTCCACCTACTTGATAGTTCTTTATTTTTCAGCGGCCCTCTCCCGCTTAATAGACATATGTATGCATAGACAACAAAACATACAAATGTATGGACTCATTCAAGCTTATAAATAGTTATATACATACGTACATATATGTATGTATATATATTTTCATACGAATGTACGTACGTGAGTACATCTGCATACACACATGCCAGCTTACAGGATGTACATGCAAACAGAGTTTTAACATTTAAGCTCGATCCTCGAACTCAACTAGCACAGCTCGTGAACAGGAACAACTTTTTCCGTGTTGCAAATCTTTTGTTAAAGGAAGTGAACTTAAAACTTTTTCAATTACGCT